GTATCTGAATCTCCTTTGCTCTTACAATGTGGAACTTACTAATGCAGGTGAAACTTGTGATCTGAATGGTACTGCCTTAGTCTAGAAGTCACTTTTCTGGGGATTTTGAATGACTTAATGGTTTCCATTTTCTGTCCTTTTGCACAAGAGGAACAACTTGACTGCAACTCTATACGAACATAGATAATAAGCCACACAAATTATATGTAATAATCAAGAATAAAAAATAAATAGGGGATGCTTAAGAACGTAGTCGACAGATCACTCACTCGAAAAGTGAAATCCCAGTCTAACCCGTCCGTCAGAGTAGACTTCATTGGATATACAGCTAACTGGGTTTTGGCATAAATTACATGATCGCATACGAATTCAACAACCTCGATGCGTCGATCAGGCTTATTGCTTATGCTTGGAGTCGATGTCCGAGAACGATTGTAAGTGTTATCGGATCGAGATCGATCAACAGTCCAGAAAATCTGTCTTGTGAACTCCTCAAAAGGCCGAAGAGTTCCTCCGGCCAAAATAACACTGTGGGCCTTCAAAACTATTTCTGAATAAAAAAGAATGAATGCAAAATTAACACTTGCATAGTTTTAGAATACTAATTTCAGCATATAACTTACAAGTACAGATGCACTTTTGGTCTCAAGATTATGTGAATGAAAAGATGTGCTTTTTATTCCAAGCTTTGAAGTACTCAATCATGGCATATTTTTCCATGGGATATACAATTAGACTTTATATAGTGCGATTTCATGCCACTTTTGTGGCATTGAGACTGACCTTATCCTCAGGGATAAGAATAACAACTTATTAGCATGCTAGGGTTTATCGGATTTTTTAGTATCATTATGATTATTGAAGAGAGTTGAAGCTAGTGATTTAGACAGAACAAGAATGTACAAATACGTTCTTCTTTAACAAGTAACTTTTTATGGATATTTACCATCACGTGTAACTTGGCATTACTTTCTTCAGGGCCAGAGGCTCAATGCCTCAGATGATGAAAATATTACTTTGTAATATTTGGTTTGAAGTGATGAAGGACTGGTCGTTGAATTTTCTCATAATAAAGAGTAAACACGACGTTTCCATTAAATTTCACATTTGCTGTATAGTATAGCCATGTAGAAAGGGCACCACGATCAGATTCTACATAGTGCGAATTATAGATGATGGCTTAAAGATACAGACGTTGAAGTAATTTGTTTGAGTGAGCACGGTCCTTCTTACATGGATTTCAAAACTGCCTATCATGAGGCATATAGAGTAGTGAAACACGTTAGAAGCGGGGGATGACGACCGTAATCCCGAGGGATAGCTGGCTGGGCAAGAAGGCTCGTTAGGGGTCACGACGGTGTAAAGAGTAAAGTCATCATGTTCCTTGGAGCCGAGCGTCAGGACTTTCCCGGACGATCCGTTGAGACAAGATATTGCTGTAGAAGCGGGAATGTGGCAAAGAGGTATAGATGATGAGCAAATAGCGATCGGAAGCCCTCTTACCAAGGGAGTAGGTCTAGCGAGGCGTACCAACAGACGCCGATTACCTGAGGATGATAGACCGATGAGGAGTTCAGTGCGTCCCCGCCTTAGGGAAGATAGCTCTATGAGGAAATCGAATTAACTATGGGTTATCCCTATAGAGGG